AATTATTGATCGAAAGTAATTTGAATCAATTTTCAATCAAAACTTCGTTCCAACCGATTTAACGAAAAATAATATACATCAATTTGGTATTGAAAATTAGTTTAAATTAATTTATAGACTCACATTTCTTTGAAGTGCTTTAAAGAAAATTAATTTCTATCAGTTTCTGTTCGTAAACTAATTTAAATCAATTTGTAATAACTAATTCATTTAAATTAATTTAGAAAACGTCTGCTAAAATTAATTTCAAATCCAAAATTAATCTGAACAAATTCTTGTACCCAAAATTAATGTAACTAACTACAAAAAAAATTAATGTAAATTAAGTTCAAGTTTTTCGAAACCAAAGCAGGTACTTATTAAGAAAAATTTACCAAGCATTTTTGAAACTGCCATATCACAAAAAGTTGCTTCGGAAAACTTAGCCTCTAATTATATCAGATATACTACGGGGACTTTGGGTTTTTTCTTTTTTGAAAAAAATGTATGATCAAGTACAATGTTGATCAAGTGATTTCATGTAAGTGCGATTTTGTAAGTGTAATGTAAGTGCGATTTTTTTGTTCAAATAAACGAATTTATAATTTACTTTACTTTTTATTGCAGGCACATACGATGAACAGTCATTTAAAACAACTCTACAACTACAAAATCATGTTAATACTCATTTGGGTACAAAATCGTTCAAAGTACTGTTTTATTGAATAAATATTTCTCTGTCTGTAATTGATTTTTCATTTGTTTTGTTCTATAGTGTAAGCTTTGCACGTATGCATTTACAGGGTTCGGTGAATTAATTCGACATATTCGTTATAAGTAAGAACTACTGTCTCTTGAGTGTAAAACAGCAATATTTTCAACTCTTATAGCTCTAGCCTATAAGTGTAGCTACGTTTCTTTTATGCACAAAAATGTACTCACAGTCTGTTACATAAAAAACCATTTAAATAATCATTATCTACACATTCTATTTCCTCCTCCTTCTAGGCACACGCTCGAGAAGCCGCACAAATGCAGCTGCTTTCTGTTGGCATCAATGATTGTAACTTTTGTTTTCTTTCTAATCAGGCGAAATTTGTGATTATGCATCTGTCAAATTGAGCGAATTACGCCGTCATATGAGAACGCATACTGGAGTACGTTCTATGATGATAAGTAAAATTTTTTGCTTAAGAGTTTAATGAAACATTGTTGTGAATATTGTGATTATAGAAGTTCAGATATATTTAAACTTAAACGCCATTTAAGAGTTCATACAGGTGAGGAAAAGCATGCTTTGATTATTACGAGGTAATTTTGCTACCAAGAAAGACAGTATGAGCATTTCTAACTACGTTTTTCCAGTAGAGGGAATGCGAAAAGATGTCAACTTTATCGCATATGCATGAGACTTATACATATTTTCACTCTGGTATAAAGAGACAAATCAAAATATGTTGATCTTCTTTGCTTATTTTAGGAGAACGTCCATATCAACGCACAATATGTAGTTTTTGCATTACTCAAAGTAATTCATTGAAAGCTCATATGTTAACCCACGAAGAAAATGACAAACATTTCCATGCACGTATGATGCCTTTAGCGAGAAAATATGATTTGGGATATCATATTGGAAAGCAACATAACACAATGAAACCATTGTCGTGTGACAAATGTGAGCAAGATTTTCCCGACAAGCAAGGGGTGAAAAGTATAAATCCATTTGAATAGGTTCATGAAAAATGATTTGCTGTTGCTAATTTACTAGATATTGATCATGTATGCATGGCAGAACAGATTGTAAAACTGGAGGAAATAATTCACTATTACTGACATGTATAATGTGTGATTACACGGCAGAATAAAGTCACATTTGGATAAACATATGAAGAAACGTAGAGGTAAATGATCAAATCAGACAGCCTGTTAGAGATTTTTTACAGAGGTGCCGGAATGATTTTTTTTTAGAGATGGCGTCAAGTTTTAATTTATTCCACCAGAAAAAGAAGTGTTTTTTTCTCCAGGAGAAAATCACATTCCTAAGGAGACTTTCTCCTAAGATTTTTTTCTGCTTTTGATTTTCGATCTTTGATGTTCACTTACTGCTTACTGGCGAATACAACTGGATTGAGGATGATGCAAATCAATCCATTTTTTGCACACTAATAAGCTTTTTCCTAGCTATTCTTCAGCTTTATTATGCGAAATCAATACTCTTTTGTCCTCTATATCTTTTAGATTTCTTCTGATATTATTTAACATTCATCCTGAAGTGCAGAATTGTGTACAGCGAGAAGATCAAATCGAGAGGTAAAGAATATAATTTGGCAGAGAGTAGCTCCTTTACATAGCTCTTACTTGCAGACGGGCTGGTTAAATATATCAACGACAGAGCAATTGAAGAAAAACAAAATTGGTTGAATAATAGTTCTGTCAATGCCAATTTACAAAGAAAACTATCAGCTTTTGTTGAAAAAGGTAAAAATAGGAGGAGCTTTCAGTCCCAGTATTAATCATAGCGTTGTTCTGTTTAGGATTAGAAGACTGTGTTAATTCAAAACCATATCCAGATTCAACTAATTCATCGCGGAGATATCGGTTGGAAAAGAATGAAAATGGTGCCACTTCGTTACGAGTGATTATACCCCCACCGAAGCCAAGAGAAAATCAAAAAAAGATACAAGAAGAGCCACGTATGTAGGAAAGGAACATATTTATCAGCACTTCTGTATGGTCTACTGTATTTTTCAGGAGATGTGCTTTTGCTGACTCGACGAAACGAAATTGATTTAATCGTCAAAGAAGGATTACAACATATGGAAGAAACTGGCTCGTTGTCGATTAATCAATGTTGGAAAAAATTAAAAAAAACTACTTCATTAGTGAAGAACGTGTTGCCTTTACTCTCAATATTGTGTAAGGAAAAGTGCTTGTTGAACTAAGAAATTGTATCACTGTGTTTATTTTAGTTGAAATTTAAATTTGGGTCTATTCAAACTGGAGAAAGTTCCACATCAACAACAGAAAAATGTGGCAGATGGTAACGAGGGAGAGACGGAAGCAAAAGAAGACAGTAACGATAATAAAGGTAAGAGTCTCCACTAGAAAATGTATGATATTTCTCGTTGCAATTTGCAATTTTTAAATGACGAAGAGAAAATACCAATGACATATGATGATGATAAAAAGAAAACACCAATGACAGATGATGAAGAAGAAAAAACGCCATCGATACCAGAAAAAACAACACAAAGAGCAGTACGTAAACAGAAAACTCCCAAACGAGTGAGTATTTGAAACTAACCTGCGATGTTATCTTACGTAGTCCATTTTTTAAACAGAAAAGAGAGTCAAGTGCAAAAGGTAACAAAGAAAACATCGACAGTGCTGTACAAAAAAAGGTGGCTACAAGACAAAATCGATAAGGAAAGGAAGAGGATATCTTCAATAATATTATCCTTGTTTCTATTTATTTTAGGAAGTTGGCAAGTTTGAGCGATGCTCTCTCAAAAAAAGAGCTTGTCGTCGGGAAACGAACAAGAGAAAACTACGCGATGTAAATTTTTTTTGTTAAGAAAAAATGTTTTGTGTATTCTCTGTTTTTCGTCTGTGTTTTGTTGTTACATTTACTCACGTTGGGATAAAAATATAATTCATTGTTGAGAATAAAACGAGATACACACTAGAAAGTAATTTTGTAATTCTACTGCTGCTGGAAGACCGGTAGACATTTAAGTAAAGCAAATTACGAAACTTAAGACATCTTTACGTGGTTATTACGTTACAATCGTTGCCGGTTTTTTGCTAGAAAAATATTTTTTCTCAAACGATAACTGTGTTCTCCTAACTCTTTTATCGCCAGTTTATAGCACGTTTTCCACTCTACAAAATCTGGTATAAACAATATCTTCAATATATTTACTTACTGGGTTAAAAAACTTTTTTCATCTCATGTCAGTAAGTGGTCAAACTTTTTAAAAAATTATTTTTTGAGGAACGATCATACTTTCAAACCAAAAATTGTATATGAATTTAGATGCGCAATCAAATTCTCTATCGTACCTGCTATTCAGCTTTTTTGGTACTTTCACATTTTTAAATCTGGCAGGGTCTTTTCAGAAAAGAATGAAGCATCTGAGAAACCACATCAGATACAATCGTATAATAAACCAACACTTCATAGGACAACTTATTTAGAGAATTTATTATGAATATCTTACAAAAAAACCTTGCTTTTCTAACAGTAGTCTACCTCGCCATGCGACGCCGCAAACGGATTTAGTTCTGCTTCGAACTTGCTGCTCATTCTCTATTGCCAAAGCCGACTCCAGAAAGCGGTCCGAACAATAACCTATAAGAATAGAATATATATTATATTGCAAAGTTTTTTCTATTCTCCGGATCGCTCCCGAAGAAGATTGCGAAGAAAAACAACTTTTTCCCTTACGGCAATCGATCTCACAAAGCGACGTCGACTATGAAAACATTGTCTCCAATTGAATACTCAATTGCATCAACGTGTTTTTAGATGGCACTTTCCACCGATCATGTCTGGCAATGTTTAAAGAATTCAACATTATTGGACAAGTTACCAGAAGGTGTTTTGGTTAATACATTATACCCGTTACGTTCAACTGAAAAAGGTATGCATTACTAAAAATATTAGATCGAAACTAAAGTTTTCTTTTTATCAGACGTGTGGAAACGTGATAAATAACAATGGAAAATGTATGGGAATAAATTATTGAAACTGAAGGGTTGTTACGTAGCGTTTTATACGTAACTTGTATCCTTCCCTGTGTCAGTGCCAACAATGAATTATGTTTTCATATTTTATTAACAAAGATATTTACATCAGAGAACGAGAACATTACGTTAGAGAATGAGATTTTCTACGCTTCCTAACAGGGTACATAAGTATCAGTTTTAAACTGTAAATATTACATATCGGAAGATGAAAGTATAAAGCATTGTCGATAGATCAAAAATTCCCAAAACGAGTTGTAATTTCGTTAAGTGATGCCACTTAATCAGTTGTCTATTATATAGGTAAGTGTATATAAATTCTTAATCATCAATAATAATTTTATTTTGTATGGGAAACATCAATAACACAGTTCTCAAGCAAAAAACTGAGAAAAGCCGGAGAACTGAAAAGAAAAGTTTGCATATGATGAATAAAGTCTAGTTTTCGTTGTCGAGCTCGCTTGCGCGATTCGGCTCCGACGAACTGAAAGGAAAAGTAAGTGAAAATGAAGTAAAACTAGTTTTCATCACCGTAGGTGATTGCCGGGGTCAAATTTATTGGATTGTTTTGTTGTTTAGTGTTAGCGGTGGAGGTTTAATTAGTGTGTTTTGTTTTGTACTTTTTGAGTTGTTTTCGGACATATATTGCTAATAACTAGTACGTCGCTTTTAGAAATGTGGAGAATCAAAGAATTAGAGTTGGGTTTTGCGTTCAAATGTTCAATTACATCAAATGTAATTGAGGGAATGAACCGTCTTTACAAAGAAGCAACCGAATGGAAAGAATTATCTCTGGATCGTCTGTTGTTAGTGCTGAATAAATTACAAGGTTATTTTATTAATAAATGCCAACGTACTTATTATATTTTAGGTGAATTTGAATTAAGATCGGAATATTATCAACTGAAAGTTATTAATGTACTATGTGTATTGGGTACTTTACTATCATATGATTCTAGAAGAACTGTTGCTGAAATCAAAGAAGCGGAGGAAGCTAACGACAGACAAGAAACACATCGGCCAAAACCAATATCAACAGTTGCGCTGTCGAAAATCTTATTCCCAGACACTGCTGTTAAATTCTCAGAATCGGGTAAGGAAAAGTTCTCAAATGAATGTTTTACTTATTTACTATTGTTATGATTATTATTTTTTGAATATTTTGGAACATTCACAGTAGAATATGAAGCTGGACCGGTGTGTATTGTTGATTTCCGGGAACTTCCACATATAAGATGCAGCTGTGAGTGGTTTAAGAAGTCATCAAGTAAAGAAGATTGAGTCCATATCATGGCTGTAAAAAGAAAGACGAAAGTAAATCAACAACAACGACAAACAAAACCGATTCTCTCCTGCGTCAGAAAAGCAACAATAGCAAAGTGAGACGCAGCAAAAACGGGCAGAAAAAAAACCGACAAAATTGGACAAAGTAAGCAACTTTTTGGAGCAGTAATTTTATTATGATTTGTGTTTGTTTTTAGGGCACCTCATCGGGTCAAGCACCCAAAACAGTGTTGCCAGTGAAGAAGAATAGAGCTGCCAAAGTGAGTATACAATAGAATATTAACCCTCTGGTTACGGTTTTTTTTTTGCAGATGCATCTTTTATTTTTCATTCTGAAATAGTTTATAATGAGTTTCAGTAGTATAGGAAAGTGCTCAAAAGTGTTTTAAAGTATGATGGTCTCCAAAACAACCTGTCACACAAAGTCCAACATCACAAATATCACACTGATAACGTGTTTTTTTACCCTTCTTCTCACGTCTACTTGTGCGACTGGAAACTATACAGTCTCTTTGTGGACTTTCTTGTGTTGCTGTTGCTGGAACAAGCGTTGGGAAATGACGTCCAGTAAGACGTACGGGATTATCACTGGTGATAGGACGACCACCTATAGGTCTCGGTTGAGAATACCTTTCGATCAATTGTCGAATAAGTTCGCTTCGAAAATCTCCAAAATGAATAGACTTTTTATGCTTCATTTTGAATAACATATATGCGTTGAATGTTGATAAATCCAACAGATGAAAGAAGAATTTTTTATACCATTTAATAGTTTTTCGTAAGCATTCTACAAAACTGATTTGCATGTTAGTTTTATCAACTAATCCCATGTTTCTGTTGTAATGGACAATACATTCCGGTTTTTCAACTATTTTTTGTGTCTTCCAATCACTTTTTTGTGTTTCTATCATCCTCAGCTTGTGAATTGTACATAGCATAAGGATCTCTCGTTTACCTTGCCACTTCAAAACCATTAGATTATTGCTGTTACTATAGTCAAAATCACCTTTTGTGAGCTTGTCAAGTTTGACTGAACCAATACGGTTTCGGCGTACAGTACCACATGCACCGGTCTTGAGTTCATATAATTTTTCAAATAGACGAAGACTGGTATACCAATTATCGAGAAAAAGTGAGTGCCCCTTATTCAAATAGGGTTTCATCAAAGTCATAACTACAGAACCAGATTTTCCCAAAGTTTGGTCTAGATCAATATCCGTAGACGAACCAGTGTATACGATGAAATCTAACACTACTCCTGTTTCACAGTCGCAAATCACGAATACTTTTATGCCAAATCGACGCCGTTTACTTGGTATATACTGTTTGAACCCCAATCGCCTCTTCCAAAGAATGAGTGATTCATCGATACATAAGTTTTTGTTCGGAATAACAAGTGATTTGAATTTCTTCCGCAGATCGTCTATCACTGATTTGATTTTATGTAATTTGTCATCGTCCATTTGAGTTAACTCATCGTTGAAATGTAAGTATTTCAAAAGGATCAGAAATCTGTCTCTAGAAAATAACTGACCAAACATAGGTGTAATAATCATTGGATCAGTTGACCAGTAGTCGAGAATCTTATTCTTTTTAGTTACAGACATGAGCATAATTGTGGCTAGGAAAGTATATATTTCAGAGCGATTTGTTTCTGTCCATTTTGCTTGATGGGAACTTGTTGAGGGTGTAGCATCATTGTTAGAAAAAGCCTGGTACTTATTGGTTTCTTCAACAATTAGATCAATTATTGTTTCATTGAACAATAATTGAAAAAATTCAAGAGGTGTAGCATCTTTCATAGCGTCTATGTTCGATGAAAGATCAACATTTGTTTCGTCAAAGGAGAAGAGATGTGGTTTGAATGCAGTTTTCTTCCAAATTCGATCAGTAGATTGTTGTTTCGATGATCCTATTTCATCATCCGATTCACTACTATCTACATCTGATGAATAAACTGCATCAATTTCCATAGTAGAATCGCCTTCAGATTCGCTATCCACTTCAATTTCATGTGGATGGTTAGTTGTACACGTTGCCATATTTAGAGAAAATTCTTTTGTAATGGATATCAATAATTAACTGTTTGTATGAAGTGTTGTGTCGAATAATGAGAATTTCGATTCTGTGAGAATATATATCCAAAGATATGAGGTGTTTCAAGTATGGAATCGAAACTTTATTTATATGAGAGCGTTTTTTGAAAGAGAAACGAAAAAGAATACGCCAGAATTTACTAGAACGTGATAGAATGTCAAAAGTCGGTATGCGAGAGAATATATGTAGAACGTAATACGCAATAGTGACGCAATTCTTTTGTTAAAATAAGAGAAAGATACAGTAGTTCTTTTAATAAAGTCTAAATGACATTATATTGAAGACAATACCTACAAAAGTTCAATGCCTATATATAGGTCACCCGTAACCAAAGGGTTAAATAATAATGGCTTATCTTTGAGGCTTTTCTAGCGTAAACAAACAACAAGTACCATTTTAGACGATTTCGAGTCTGATTTGAAAATACTACCATTGTCTGCATCAAAAGTAAATGACAGATATGAATCTAGCATTCATACTAATTGTTTTCTCCATTTGAAGAGAATGCCATTAAGCGACTTATCAAACAATACTCCCATCATTTCTCATCGACAATGGAATCAATCATTCAACCAATGCGCCTTATTATCGACGGATGTATCTTCTTCAAATGATCCAGAACTGATTGAAGTAGATTACATATGAACAGTGATTAAAAGTGTGCGTGAATGGTTTGTTGTTGCGAAGGTGGGTAGTGTAGTGGAGAGTCTGTGTGAGTAATTTGGTCGTGTAGTGAAGAGTGTGTGTATGAGTGGTTTGATGTTGTGAAGATGGGTGGTGTGATGAAAGTCGTGAGGATAGCTGTGTGTGGTATGTTTGAATATTGATGGGTGTTTCATATCTATAATCATTTGCATGTTTTGTTCGCTAAGCTGCGATTTTTGATCGAATAAAATTGTGAAAACTCTCATTACTCAACAGTGAATTTATCTGTCTTCTCGATTTTTTTTGTTTTCTTTGTTTAGTGTGTCTGATCGTTCTAAACTGTGATTTGCTCAGATAAATTTGTGAAATGTATTTTTATCTTGCTTTATTTGTTAATACAAATGAAAAGAAAATGGTTATGAGAAAAAATCATTGAAAGATAGTATCATATGGTTAATGTTCTTTTTACAGAAAGAACTGCAAAAGCTAAAATATACGTGACTCTTCTCAAAAGTTTAACCAGATTCCATATTACTTATCAAAAACTAACATTTTTATTAGTGGAACTACATTGTCATTTGGTCTGATTTTGCTTTGTTTATGTATTTAATTACTTTTTGTAGCATATTGCGAGCTCTTCCTTTCCTGCAGTCGAAATCTCCGAAAAGTAGCGCCCTCTGTCGTTCTGTGCCATCACGCTAATGAAGAAAAACCTGCTTCTATTTATTTTGTCATACATATAATTTATATATTTACTAAAGATCTTTTAAACTATTTACCTTTTCCCTTAAAAATTTTGACCAATGGATGAAAAAGTGGTCGGTCAGTCAGTAAGTCAGTGGAAAAGTCACAACCGAAAAAAACCATCGCACAAGAATTATGTAAGAAAAATAAATAATGTATATACTAAGGCATTCTTCTCGTCGTTATTGTACTCTTTCTTGTGACTATGTCGAACGAAAGAAAAAAAAAGAAGTTAGCTTTCAGCGATACATTTATCTAAACTGATGTATTATACCTCAAAAGTAAGAACATGGAGTAAAAGTCAGCGTGTTTTATCTTCCGCAATACATGTGTTAAAAACCTTTTAGTTAAGCACATAACAATCAAACAATTTTTCTTTAAAGAAAGTGTTCTGAAGTATAGTAAAACCCTAGAAAGATTATTGTTTGGCCCATTGAGAGTGACGAGCAATATAAACTTAGCGTCCATGATTATTTCCATGAACTTAATTTTCAAAATATGATTATGAGAAATGCAGAATAATAGACTGAAATAAAAAGTTACCATAAAGTTAGCTAACTGATAGTAACCGTTATTTTAACGGTAAATGGAAAGACAGTTATCGTTAAAGTAACGGTAACTGCTTTTTTAGTTACCGTTATCGATAATGGCCGAAGAACTAACGGGAACTTTTACAGTAGCAATTTTATCTCAAGTCTTTCTATCAAAAGATAGAAGTTTTTTAATTCTGATCTGCTTTTTTTCCTTAATAAGTGTTCGTACGACCACGATTTCACTGCTGTTTGAACACTTATCTAGCAGATAGAACTTTGTTTATATACCATTAGAACGAGCAGAATCTGGGCTACACTATGAGAAAAAGAGGTTATCAAAAATAATGAAAGGAAATGGATGAAAATCGTATATTTTATTAATTAGTTAACTCACTAATCTGCTTATTTTCAATGTTTAACTCAAGTGTAAAGCTTTTCAGAGATAACAGGTGTGTAGATAAAAGCATTCTCTACAAGATAAGCTGTTTTATGTTTAAACATAATTAACAACTGATGAGGTACACTGTTCAGCGTGCTTTTACATAATATAGAAGAATATTTTCTCGTTTCGTTTTGTTTTCTTTCTGTGTTGGCAGAATGTAAATATAAAAGCACCAGGCAAAGGTGAGTCCGAGTACGGACTGGAAGATTTTTTGGCGGACTCGGACTTGAATTTTTGTATTTCGAGTCCGATCTATTCAACTTTTAACAAAACTGAACGGAGAAAAATGAAACGTGAAATAACGGCACCTTCTGTTTTACAAGAAATTGAAAATTTTGTTCGCGAGACGGACATGAGAAGTAACCTTATTTTCGAAAAATCAAATATCTACCTAGGACTCAGTAAATTAAAAAAAGAGAAATAAACCACCCTCATCAAAAAAGAATCTAATAGATTACTGCACTCGAAACGGACTCGGGACTGCGATTCGGTCATTAATGTTAAGCACTCGGACTCGGTGCCCCTTGGACTCGCCTATGTCTGAAAAGCATGCTGAATAGAATAACGTGCACCTCATTAGTTGTTAATTATGTTTAAACGCAAAACACCTTATCTTGTAGGGAATGTTTTTCTCTAAACTTTGAAAAATCCGCCTTCGCAAATAATGCTAGTTTGATCAATTGCTCGTATTTCACTATTGAAATGAGCTAAATCTTTTTCAATCACAAATACAAACAAAATTAGCTAAATAGCGAAAAGCTGATTCTTTTTCTAGTCGAAAGAAGAAAGTCTGAACTTCAAAAAACACAGGGAATAAAACTTTTAGGACTGAGTTTGGGTGAGAAAAAATTCAAATATCCAACAATACCAAAAAAATTTTTGCAATGTCCATCCTTTTCAAACGTATCTTCCTCATCGAATATACTTTTGAGTTTGAAAAATATAACTAATTAGACTTAATTAATAAACTTCAGATATTCAGTGTATTTCTTCCTTTTCTAAAACATCATTTAGTTCACATTAGTTTTAATTTTTATTAACGTGTCCTAGAACACAATTTCTGGTTACTCTTTATTTTCCGTGCAATGTGATCCTTTTTACCAGACCTGAGGCTTCTAATGCGTTTCCACTCTTAATGGATCGCTGAGAAACTGTAGATGCACAGTTACAGCTAAAAAAGTAGATGTACCGAGGTCTGTTTCTAACATACTTAGTTTCGCCGCAAGAGAAATTCATTTTTTTCATAACTATCATCATCCGATACTGAAAGAATTATTAATGTTTCTCTCAACCGTTCTTCTCCAATTCCATGCACTGATAGTTCCATTTATCTCTTCTTTAATAGAATATTAATAAATACTTTAAGAATGTTTCAGAAAAACCTTTTAGACAATGGAAGAAATACATTGAATGGCTGAAAGTCTAATCTTAAGTCTAATCTTAAGTCTAATTAGTTATTTTTTTCAAACTAATGAAAAACGTGCAAAGTTCTTGTTGAAAAGTGGATCACAACCTCATTTATCCCGTTTCATTTGAAAGAGCGACAGAAATACTTCTGGTTTTTAAAATTACATAATATCAAACCAGGCTTTTCTCATTTTCTACGTTTTTGGCACGAATATTTATTTGAAAGTCGAGACTTTCAAGCAAATATATATTTATATTCGACATGACATCAAAATGATAGCTCTAAATACTTCTGCTATAGTCTACTCAACGTAGAACTTAACACTGAATATCAATCTGACGTCAAGTTTTGATTCTGACCGCAACGAGGTAATGTACGGGCAAAAATTTTCGACATCATCATTTGTTTTCTAGCGAAATCTTGACAAGACCGTGATAGATCTCGGTGCAAGAATGTTCATTAGGCAACACTACCACTCGTTTTAATCTGATAATGTAAATATTAGCTCACATCGCCTGAACGTGATGACGAGCAAACTAACTGAATGCTTTTACTGCCGTATCCCTTTTCTAGTATACTATCAACTGTGATTTGATTGGACGTGTATACACATCGTGTAAATATTATTCTGGACTCGATTATCCTTATGTGTTCTGCATTTGCAGTATTAGTATCGCTTTTGATGATTTCAGTTATGCTATTTTGTCAATTGCTGAAAAGAGCAGATCGAACCACTCACTTGCTGACTATCAATATGTATACGAGCCTTTTTATTGGCTGTTCTATCATGACAGACATCTATGTTTACACTCTTTATGGACATCTGCATCCAGGTAGCTCATTTGACGGACAATGGTGTCACATAAAGGCCTACCTCTTTTATGTGAGTGGATGTGGCTTTTTTTACTCTTACTTGCTTCAAGCTGTCTATCGGCTTAGCCGAATCGTCTTGCACACGCGACCAGCACTGCAATCTTTCGGCCTTTATGCATGCGGAATAGTAGTCCAGTGGCTTCTCAGTTTTCTACAAGTAATACCGATCCTTCTGCTTCACACTTTCGAATATCTACACGACGATTTCCATTGTCAAATTCCACTTACCAATCTGCGTGGTTTAGTTGTTGGTCTCTCCCTCGTTCATCTAATTCCAGTTTCCTTGTCGTGCAGCTGTTA